TCTTAGACTAAAGCATTTACATCAAGCTTTTTATTAATTTTGTAATGAAAGTGTATTTATATTAATTTATAWTGAAATATCATGAATTACCTAATACAAACACAATTGTTTTAAACATTTTATTTTCCAACCAATTAAAAATAATTAGGTAATTATTAATTATATTAATAAATTAAAATTATGCTGTATTTTTCTGTAAATTTCAAGAATCTATAGTCGAGTCACGATAACCCAAAGTTGAAGTAGAATAAATATTTGTTTTTAGATAATGATAAATRATAATAAATACAAATAAATGAATAAATAATGATTTTTGAGYTATTGATAGGTATGATTATTTCAATTTTTTAAAAATATTATTGATAAATAACTTTTTGTTGTTTTAAACAACTTGAAAATTTAAAAATCATAATTTTTTATCATAGCAGTTTAAAAGTGTTAAAGGTACTCCCGTTGTTTTTATAAATGTTGAAAGTTGAAATATTTACAACATTTATCTACAAAAACTAAATCAACCTTCTGTGGAATGATGCTAATGTAATAATGATGAACATGAATTTAATGCRTAAAAATAATTAACCAAATAACATGTTATGAGCATATAGTTAAGTAATGAGTTTATCATTTTTAATGAACTTTTAACACCATATATTATTATATCCATTAACCACGTTTATCTAATTGTGTCGTTTATATTATGTCACTAAAATGTTTATAATAGTAATCACAAATATACTCATCGCTTCAAATCAACTCTAAGCTATTTATTTATTTAGTAATGTTATTATAATTTATTAAAGCGATTTCCTGAAACTGAAAAATTTGRTATGTATAATATTATTTTTGTATATTTTGCTCAAATATATTTAATATAATGTTTACCTATAATATATCATATAATGTTGGAAATGGAGCATAATAATATAACCAAAGCGCTGAAAGTTTAATTTTGAAAGTCTAAAATAATATTAGTATTCATACTAATTATTTATTTATCCATATAAATAATTTGGCTGTATTCCAAAATACATTTTTAGCATTTTTTTTTTTTTTTTAATTAAGAAAATAAAATTTTTTTTTTTGTTAGTAAGGTTAGTCAATTGAGATATTATATATTAATATAAAGATTTAAGTTCATAGTAAGATATAATTAATATATGTAATCACATGAAATGGTTTATGTATACAAATATGAGTTATARTTCTTGTACTACATCTAAAGTATATAATATGCATATTTATGCTTAAACAATATTTGCATTGTACATCATTACTTTCTTATTTCTTTTAATTTATTATTACATTTAATTTTAAAATAATAAAACACCTCGAACGACAATGAATACCTAATTAAATGTAACTGATACGTAAACTACAGTCATTATAAATGAAGCTCCAATATGAAAATATATTAAACATTATGTAARGAAATTTCTTCAGAAAGGAAAACACAACTAGATTTCTTCAAGATGTTAGACAATTGGATGATTTGTGGTTGGTTATATGACGGAAAATGAAAAATGTGCTATAAATTACAGTATAATAGGACTTTGAATTAAGTTGGTCCTCTACTCCTCTAAGTAAGCACAAATAAATAGAGGTAATTAAAAATATTAAGTATAGGTATTTGTGGTAGGTTAGGGGTTTATAATATTAATTTATTTTATTTAATCGTACAAACTACAAACTAACCTAGTCATTAACTATCTACACCAAAGAATACGCAATGTTTTATTTTCAGTAAATACTAAATTACTTGCTTAACACACATATGTATCGATATTATGGCAATAATAGTTTATGCGTTTTTAACACCTCGTTTGCTTGAAACAACCTTGACAGTGTTTAATATATAGCCTATTGACATATCGTTTAAATAATAATAATCTGGGATAGGTATATTATTATAATTCATAATGCTGACCATCCTATTCGGATGCTTCCAATAATTGGCCATTTCGTAAAATTTCTCAAATACATTTTACCCTGCGTAGAATATTGTTCTATRTTTGTATATCCCACGTGCTCAGATCGTGGTCGAAATGGCTATCGGTCTATCCCAGGGGTCGYGAACCTGCGGCCACCGAGCCACATGTGGCTCTTTCGATCTTAAGTTGCGACTCTCCAATTCCATTCGCAAAACTTAATATTTTTCTTGCTTTTGAAAATATGAAATAATACATAACAATAACTTGATATTTAAAACAATAGCTTATGAGCCAGACTTCACAAAACATTCAAAAGACATGCAAAG